ACACCACTGTCACACCTCTTTCGGCTCCAATCCCAGTTGCCCTGGCTGATCCTACTTCAAGACCAGCAGTTGCTCGTAGCTCGACCACTCTCCCGTGCCCAGCTGTCCCCTCTGGTTTCCTCACTGGTCTCTACATCCCCTCGTTCTCTCGGAACTTGGTGGGTGTTGGATACCTTCAGGACCAGGGGATCACAGTCACTTTTCCCGCGCACGGGAGGACTGCGATTTGTACGGACTCTTCCACTGGGGCAGTTCTTGCCACGTTCACCAGAGAGCCCCACTCAGGTCTCTTCGTCTTGCACACTCCACCCCCGCAGGCAGCTTCGTCTGGTCAGGTTGCTTCGTCCCCCCCGGTAGCAGAGTCCGCTAAGGAAACTGTGTCCCCATTGGTTGCTTTGTCCGGTTAGGTTGTTGTGTCCGGTCAGGTTGCTGTGTCCGGTCCAATTACTACGTCTTGCTCGTGTCGGTCTTTCACCCACCGGACCATCTTATGCCACGACCTGTCGATCCCCTGCCTCCGCACTATGGCTAGTCACCGTCTTGTTTAAGGTCTCCCTCACGTCTTCCTGTTGCTCCCTCCCTCGTCTGCGCTGCCGTGCACTCCTTGCGTCGGCGGCCGTCTTTGTGCCACTCCGCACTCCTCCTCCCTTCGTCCGGCCACTGCTCCCTTCCAGACACTCCACTTGGATGTCTGGGGCCCTGCACCTACGCTGGGACTTGAGAGGGAGCGCTGCTTTCTGGTGGTCATCAACGACTTCTCCAGGTACACCACGGTGTTTCCTCTCGCGAAGAAGTCTGAGGTGACTTCTACGCTGATCCGGTGGCTTCTAGCCACCGAGGGCACTCATGGCCGTCGTGTCTCCTGTCTCCACTCTGACCGTTTGGGTGAGTTTCACTCACGCATTCTTGCCAGATTCTGCAGCGAGCAGGGCATCGTACAGTCCTGGATGCTGCCGGAGTCCCCACAACAGAATGGGGTTGCTGAGCGCCGCATTGGCTTGGTCATGGACATCGCCCGCTCGTCCATGATTCATGCCCGTGCGCCCCATTTTCTGTGGCCCTACGCGGTTCGCTACGCCGCTCACCAGCTTAACCTCTAGCCGCGCGTCTCGCGGCCAGAGGCTTCACCGACGAGTCTTTGGACCGGGTCCCTTGGTGTTGGGTCAGCATTTCGTATGTGGGGCTGCCTTGCGCTTGTCCGCGACACCTCTGCGGACAAGCTCTTGGCTTGCGCCATCCCCTGTGTCTTCCTTGGTTTCCCGGTAGCCTCGGCCGACTGGTCATTCTACCACCCGCCCCTCCACCAGTTCCTAGACTCCCTTGACGTCCGATTCGACAAGTCAGTGTCCTTCTACACCCGGTACCCCTGTCGAGGTCTCCCGGTTCCCCCTTCCCCCCTTTTCCTCGCACCCTCTCTCCCCCCTGCTCCCGCTCCTCCGGTACCCCCACCCCCCCCTGGTCCTGCCTCGTCAGGTGTGTCTCACGCTACCCCTCTACCCTCGGTCGCGTGTCAGGTAGCGTCTCCCTCCCCGCAGTCCTCCTCACAGTCCCCTCAGCAGCGTGCGGCACTTCTGTGACAGGTTACTGTGGACTCGGTTGGTGTTGGAGCTGGAGCTGCAGCCACTAGCGGTACTCGGTCTGGGGGTGCTCGTTCGAGGGATGCTGGAGCTGGAGGTGCCGGCGCAGGTGGCGCTAGCCCCTGTGGGTGCCGGAGCTGGAGGTCCTGGCACTGGAGGTGCTAGTTCTGGGGGTGCTGGAGCAAGAGGTGCTGGCACTGGAGGTGCTAGTTCCAGGGGTGCTGGAGCTGGAGGTGCTAGCATGGGAGGTGCTAGTTCTGGGGGTGCTAGAGTTGGAGGTCTTGGCACTAGGGGTGCTAGGACAGGGGGCGCTGGAGCTGGGGACCCTGACCCTGTTGGCACCCCTTCTGGGGACACTGGTAATGGGGGTGCTAGTTCAGAGGCGACTGGAGCTGGGGGCACTACGTCTGCGGAGATCACTCCGCCTCCCCACCACCACGACACGCGTTACCAGGCGGCCTGCCGGCGTGCGCGCAAGGAGCAGGAGCGGTTGGAGAGGGATCGGCAGGAGTTGCGGCAGTTGGACCTGCTAGAGCAGCAGCAGCAGCAGCAGCGGCAGCCGCAGCCACAGCAGCAGCAGCAGCAGCAGCAGCAGCAGCCGCCGCCGCCACCGCAGCCGCAGCAGCTCCCTCTGGAGCGGTAGTTGTTCCCGCCCGTCAGTGGCCTTCGGGCCCTTGGTTATCCCTCCTCTCCTCCTGTCCGCTCTCCGTCTCCTCCTGCGTTTGGTCCTACGTTTTCTCCTCTTGACGCCCGTCCGGCAGTCTGGTCTTCTCCTCCACCGCAGTCTCCTCCTCCTGTTGTCTGTCACTACTTTTCCCGTCCTTGTCCTCCGAGTGGTCGTCCCTCGTCCCCCGTTACCGACCTCCTCACTGCCCTACTTCGTACCTCTCTTCGTCGTTCTCCTCCTCCGGAATCGGTTCTCCCGTCTCCTCCTCTGTTGTCTCTTCCTGTCTCCCCTACTCCTATCTCCGACTACTACCGTGCTGTTCGCCCTGTTGTCTCCCGCGTTCTAGCCACTAGTGTCACTGATCCTCGTTTCTCTCCGTTGTCTGTCTCGGCTCTCACTGCCGCTGACGCTGACTTTGCCGCCGCCAGCCGCCTTGACTACAGCACTCGTGCGGTGCCCGCTCTGCCTACCCGTCCCCTGTCCGTCGGGGGTGAGTTTGCCCTTGGCTGAGACGTCCTAGAGGACAAGCACTCTGAGCTGGAGTACCTGGCAGTCGCTTCTCCCACTCTTTCTGCCATACTGCTTTCCCCTGAGGGAGACCCAGACGCCCTTGACATACCGACTCCTCGCACGTACCATGAGGCAGTGTCAGGGCCGTGGGCCTCTCAGTGGAAGGCGGCCATGGACTCAGAGTTGGCGTATTAGAGATCCACAGGCACGTACGTCGACGCAGTTCCCCTTCCCCGGGCGAATGTAGTCGATGGCATGTGGCTCTTCAAGGTGAAGTGGCCGCCTATATCACCCCCGTTGTGCCAGGCACGCTATGTGGCGAGAGGCTTCAGTCAGCGCGAGGGATTTGACTTCTTTCAGACCTTTGCTCCAACCCCGAAGATGACTAAACTTTGGGTGTTACTACACGTAGCAGCACAGCGTGGCTACGAGCTCCACTCTCTCAACTTCTCCACTGCTTTTCTCCAGGAACGACTGCACGAGGAGATCTGGCTACGCCGTCCTCTCGGTTTCACTGGTACTTTCCCTCCTGGAACCTAGTGGAGCCTAAGGCGACCAGATTACGGTCTCCACCAGTCGCCCCGTGAGTGGCACGACACCCATCGCTCCACGCTTCGTGACCTAGGGTTTCGCCCTTCCTCTGCTGACCCGTCACTGTTTGTTCGTGCCGGCTCCACTCCTTTCTTTATTCTCGTCTACGTCGACGACTTGGTCTTTGCTACACCAGACAGGGCAGCTCTGGCTGAGGTGAATTCCGAACTGCCGAAGAGACACACGTGCACTGACCTTGGTGAACTGCAGCGCTACCTTGGCCTGCAGATCACCAGGGAAAGAGCCGCTCGCACCATCACGTTGACGCAGTCACACATGGTGCAGCAGGTCCTTCAGCGGTTCGGGCTTCAGCACTCCACCACACAGCGCACTCCTCTTGCTGTAAACCACAGACTCACCGGCCCCTTCCCCGACGAGCCCTTTGAGCCCAGTGGTCCCTACCCAGAGCTTGTTGGCTGCCTCATGTACCTGATGACATGTACTCGCCCGGACCTCGCCTACCCTCTTAGTGTCCTCTCTCGCTTTGTTGGGCCCGGGAAGCACCGTCTTGTTCACTGGACGGCTGCCGTGAGGGTGGCGAAGTACCTGGCGACTACATCAGGCATGAAGCTTATGCTTGGAGGGACTCGGCCAGTTGAGCTGACTGGCCTCTGTGACTCTTCTTACGCTGACGACGTGGAGACTCAGCGCTCGACCCAAGGTTACTGTTTCAGTCTGGTAGCTGGGGCTGTGTCGTGGAGGTCCACACGGTCGTCGTCGGTGGCTTCGTTCAGTGCAGAGGCAGGGATCTACGCCGGGGCTATGGCTGCTCAGGAGCTTCGCTGGTTGACCTTCTTGCTCGCTGACCTTGGTGAGCAGCCTCGCACTGCTCCGACCTTGTTCGCTGACAACAAGGCCATGATTCTCTTGTGTCGCGAGCCTCGACTGGAGACCAAGGTGAAGCACATTGACGTCCGGTACTTCCTCCTGCGCGAGCTACAGCGACGCGGCCAGGTGTTCCTGGACTTTGTGGCGTCAGAGGCCAATACTGCTGACCTCTTCACCAAGGCCTTGGCGCCTGGTGATCACCACCGGTTCTGTGTGTAGTTAGGGCTTGTTGAGGCAGGTCCTCGGTTGCTGTAGACTTGTTGCTTGCTCTACTTGTTGTACTTTGCTATTATATATCCTAGTGAACTCTTGAACTGGTCTTGTGGCCGCTTGCTTGTGCTCGGAATTTGTGTGGTGTCTTTGAGATCCATCCTGAGCTTGTTTTGCTTCTTGCATTGTCTGGTCTTGTGACCCTTTGTTCACCCTGGTCGCTTTGATGCCCCTCACCTAGCCTATGGGAGTGTGTCAAATGTTGATATTTGTGATAGGCTGTAGTGAGGTGCTCCTTAGTGAGTACAACTTAGTTAGGGTTTGCGATTTGCATCACCCACATTCCTAAACTCATCATTCCGTTGCATTCTTACCGTCATCGCCCGGATATAAGACAGTGTTGAATAGTAGACAGGGGTTGTCTACTATACGGGTGTCTCTTATAAACAGGCTAGCCTTTTTATACGACACCTACTTGTGTGTACGAGATAAGACATATATGTCTTATAATCAGAACCGGGGTTTAGGGGTTTTCTTATAAACAGGGGGTGTCTTCTAAACGAGCCTACACTACTTTAGGGGGGTACATCCATACATTCATGAATCCCTACTTCTACCTAACCCCCCTCAGTAACTGCCTCCTCTGCAGCACTAGCAACAGGCTCTACGCCCAGGTCTGGCACTCGCCAGGCATGCCTAGCCGTCTCCCTTGGCTCGATCATGCGGTCAGCCTCGGCTGCCGCTCCGCGGTAGTTGGGGGTCTCCTGGTACAGCACCTCCAGGCCAGTTGCCACGGCCACCTCCCGCACGCCCTCCGCCTGCATCGCCTCCTCCTCCTCCTCCTCCTCCTCCTCCTCCTCCTCCTCCTCCTCCTCCTCCTCCTCCTCCTCCTCCTCCTCCTCCTCCTCCTCTTCCTCCTCCTCCTCCTCCTCCTCCTCCTCCTCCTCCTCCTCCTCCTCCTCCTCCTCCTCCTCCTCCTCCTCCTCCTCCTCCTCTGGAGCCTTCCGAAGCAGGCGCGTGTTGTTGCCTATGGTCCCCCCGAGGGACATGTCCTCGGAGACATCGGTGGTGCTCCTGGCGCGCAGGTGAGACATCACCAGGTGGTTCTCCGTTCCGCCCAGCTTGCTGAAGATCCCACAGTGGCGGAACGCGTCGATGATGATCTGCCTGGGGACTTGATCCCAAGCCTCCGCGATTCACTGCAGCACCACGGGGTGCGGAGGCCTCCGCAGGTTCCCTGCGGGTGGGACAGAGGACACGGCAACGAGATGTTAACGATAAGGACACGAAACAGAGTAGGAATATAAAATGAACAGCCAACTCACCCTTCTTCGTCTTCGGGTGAATCCCTTCACGCATGAACCACCTGGCGTAGCGCGCTCGCACGGCAGCCTTGAAGCACCGGTTGATGGAGACGTCCAGGGGTTGAATCTGGCTCGTACAACCCGCTGGAATGACTGCAGGGGTGATGCTGTGCGTGCGGTACGACTGAAGCATGGTCTGGGTGATGTGGCCACGGTAGGAGTCCAACACCAGCATCGCACGCCTCGCGCTCTTGCCGCGCTGGGGGTTCAGATGGGGAAGCACCTCCTTGGACAGCCAGGTCTGCACAGCGCTCTCGTCCATCCACCCATTGTCCTGTGCTTGGACCGCGATTCCTGCCAGGCACACAAGGGACAGACGGACATCAGCACAGTGGGGCACGCTCATGAGGCAGGGGCAAGGTTGAAGTCATGGCGCTTACCGTCCGGAATCTCACAGTTGGGGACGTTCTTCATCTTGAACCACACCCACGGCCGCAGCTTCTCCCCGGATGCAGTGCACGCGAGCATCACCGTCAAGCGCGTCTTCTGGTAGCCTGCAGTGCGGATTGGGACCGAGCGCGCGCCACGTTGCTCGATCGTCCTCTCGGCCGACATCTCCACGAACAGTGGCGTCTGGTCCGCGTTGATGATACGGGCCAGGTCGATGTTGTGCCGCGCCCTGTTGATGCGCACGAACTTCCAGAAGGACTCGCAGTCCTTCGCGCACTCTGCAAACGGGACAGGAACAGAAGTGAGGGACGGTTAAACAATGAGCAAGGTAAGACATGCATACAATGGGCCGTGCGCGGCACGAACTCCTTATCCACGCACCTGCCGACAGACGTTGTCCGACCTTCGTCCTCACCTGCATCACCAGGTTCCAGCGGTCACGGAAACGCTGGCTCCAGTGAGAGCTCGCCTTCCAGTTCTTGCCGGGGTAATGCTTCTTCATCCACTCGCGGCTCCACTTTTGGGTGTCCTTCACCGAGATGGCCACCCCGTTAGCGCGCTGAAGGCAGATGTAGTGGTACAACGCTGCCTCCATGTCAGGGTAGTGTGTGTGGCCCCCCCCCCCCCCCCCCGTGCATCCGCTTGCGGCAGTTAGCGGCGCCCTTGTAGATGCCCGCAGCGGCCTCCGCGCACCAGCGTCTGATACAGGCGACGCTCGCGGTTGACTCCAAGCTAGTCTTCTTCAAGGAGCCGAGCTCCTGATAGCGGCGCACCCACTTAACCTTCTCACGCACGGTCCAGCCGCGGCGCTTCTTCGTAGTGTCTTTGCTGCGAGGGGAAGGTGGGCGGGTGTTGGGATTATGGAGGGTGGGGTCCTTCGGCGCCTCCTTCTCAGGGAACGTGGGAATCGGGCCCGCCGCCGCCGCGTACTCATCGTCGCTGCCCAACGCCTCGTTGACGATGATGTCGTCAGGATTCGGCGCCTTCTTCGCCTTTTTCTTTACCGCACCCTTGCTGGATCCAGGGTCTTCGTCGTCCTTGCGCTTCTTGTTGCTTGTGCGGCCACGAGCAGGGGCCTTTGCAGGGGCCTTAGCAGGGGACTTAGCAGGGGCTTCCACGACCTTTGCCTTTCCCTTCTCCGCAGCGGTGAGTAGGGGGCGACGCTCCTCCCCGGGACTGTCGTCGTCACAGAGCACCACACGGGCGCGCTTCGTCGTGGACTGTAGGCGATGGCGCAGCCTCCGCTTCAGTAGCGGAACGTCGTCGTCTGTCCCAAGGCTCCGCGGGTTGTCGTCGTCGCCCTCACCCTCAAATAAGACGGCATCCGCAGCCACCTTGTTCGCCTCCGCCACCGCCTCCGCATCCGCAGGCGCCTCTGTCTCGAGTTCCGCCGCCGCCTCGTCGGCAGCCTCATTCGCATCCACCGCCGCTTCCTGTGCCTCCGCGTTGTCACCGCCAGCATCTTCACCTTCGTCGTTGTCGGAATCACCAGCCCGCCACTCTTCCACCTCGTCGTCGCTCCCGACCGGCTGATTCCACCATTCGTCCTCCTCGATGTCGGCAGTACCAAATTCGTCGCCCGAAGCGCTGTCATCGTGGCCGTTCTCCGGCCAATCCTCCTCGGCGTCGTTGCCGTGTGCTTCGTCTCCGTCTTCCCCGTCACAGTTCGCACCGGAGGCGGCGGTAGGACTTCCCGCCTTGCTCGCGTTCTTCGCCATGGCTACGCGGATGTCATCGCCGGGCGAGTTAATTCGCCCGTAGTTATTTACCTGCACGTGAGGACGAGGTGAGGACTTGCCTAGGGGTACCTTGCTGCGCATGGTTAGAGAGCCTGCCGAGAGCAAGGTTGAGGTGAGAATTCAACCTCCATGAGCACCAAATGAAGTGAAAGCCCGACTACCCCCCCCAGCCAGAGTGCCCCATCCACAGGTGCCGAGCCGCTCCTCTACGAGGCATCTCCTCGTAGAGGACAGCCTGACGCTGCCAACGTGCTGCCAGCAGCGTTCTGGAAGCTGCCATGCGCTGCTGGCAGCAAAACGACGCTGGCAGCATCATTAGATGCTGCCAGCACATAGGAATCTTGCCAGCGGTGGCAGCTTTGCTGCATCACCACCGAGGTCGGCCTGTTTCAATGAATCTGGTCCCTGGGTGTTTTCTACACACTTTGCAAGTGTTACAGTCAACTTTTTTTTTCAATTTATTAGAATTATAAGACACCCTAAACCATCCCGTTTACAAGATAACTCAAGCATTTTTGCCCGTGTACGAGATAAGACATATATGTCTTATATCCGGGCGATGATGGTACTTTGAGAATACATTAGCATCAGCGCATAGTGCTGTTTCATTCCCTAATGCTGCTCTTGTCCGCAGGCTTCACACACAATAACCTCGTACGGTAGCTTTGCCAGGATTCTCCTTAATGCTGCTACTGTACTGCTTTTCCTGCTGTTGTTTTTGCTGCATCTGTTGCTCCTGTTGCTCCCCCTGCTGCTTCTCTGTTTCTCCAACCTGCACCAATGATGCTGCATTTCTTGCTGCTGCCGGTGCTGCGGGTGCTGGTGCTGCTGGTGCAGCTGCTGCTTCTGCTGCTGTTGCTCCTGCTGCTCCTTCTGTTGTTTCTTCTGCCTCTGCTGCTGCTCCATACACCCAAGCCCCACAAGCAGTAACTACGCTGCACCATACTCTACCGTTCTGAACCTTTAGTCATCTCTTTGCTTCGCTTGTCATGCTTCTCTGCTGCTTCTCATTCGGCCCCTGCTCCAAACATCCACAACCCACAAGCAGCAACCGCACTGCACGGCACACCACCGTTCCAAACCAGCTTGAAATCACCTCTTGGCTTCACATGACTTTTTTCTCTGCTGCTCCTGTTCCCTTTGCTGCTTCTGCTGCTTCTGCCTTTGCTGTTCCCATTGCTGCCGCTGATTCCAATCTGCTGCTTCTGCTGCTTCCGTTGATGCCGCTGTTTCTGTTTCTTCTGCCTCTGTTGCTTTCGCTGCTTCTCCTCTTCCTGTTTGTTGCTTCAGACTCCGCTGCTGCTACACCCATCCACACCGCACAAGCAGCGACCGCACAAGCATTGTTGATCCATCTGAACCACTTTTGAGAACTCTCATTACGGGATTCTCAGACAGAAGAAAATTAATCAGCTGGTTTATTTTATTTTAGAAGAAGGATTCTCGGAAGATAACTCACCATAGAAATTTCTCAAAAGAGGATTTTCATAGGCGACCTCAGGATCACCGCCTAGATTTGGTAGTCTTCCCTTTCAACTGCTGCTGCTTTTGCTGCTGCTGCTGCTGCTCCACATATCCGCACTCTACCAATAACGATCTCGCAGCGTTGTTGATGTGCCTGAACCGATCTGGACCCAGTAGAATTCCTCCGAACCACCTTGAAACCACAACCACCTGGCAGAACGGAAGGAGAAAAATGATGTTCTCTTAGACCATCAAACGGTTAAGCCGTTAGCTTATTTGCACTTTTGAGGCGCCTCAAAAGCTGTTTGCTGTTTTGCATCTGTACGCGCGCGCGCGCACGTGAGTGTGTGTGTGTGCGAGATGTTTGTGTGTGTGTGTGTGTCACATGTGTGTGTGTGTGTGTGTGTGTATGTGTGTGTGTGTGTATGTGTGTGTGTGTGTGTGTGTGTGTGTGTGTGTCACAGCCCTCAAATTACCATCCTTCTCTCACCCTTCCACTCACCACATTAGCCTCCACCACAATCTGCAGCAAAAACTCCACCATCCTCCACCATCCCTCACCACCCCTCACCACCCCTCACTCACTACATTAGCCACTCCCAAAATCTGCAGCAGATGCATCAAACACTGCCCCCTGCTGCTGCCTCCCCCCAAATGGACTGTTACGTTGGCTCAAAAGAAGGAAATCTCCGCCACTCTTTATTACCCCTCACCATGCCTCACCACCGCTCACCACCGCTCCCCACCACACTTCCACTCACCACATCAGCCACCCCCAAAATCTGCAGCAGATGCATCAAACACTGCCCCCTGCTGCTGCCTCCCCCCAAATGGACTGTTACGTTGGCTCAAAAGAAGGAAATCTCCGCCACTCTTTATTACCCCTCACCATGCCTCACCACCGCTCACCACCGCTCCCCACCACACTTCCACTCACCACATCAGCCACCCCCAAAATCTGCAGCAGATGCATCAAACACTGCCCCCTGCTGCTGCCTCCCCCCAAATGGACTGTTACGTTGGCTCAAAAGAAGGAAATCTCCGCCACTCTTTATTACCCCTCACCATGCCTCACCACCGCTCACCACCGCTCCCCACCACACTTCCACTCACCACATCAGCCACCCCCAAAATCTGCAGCAGATGCATCAAACACTGCCCCCTGCTGCTGCCTCCCCCACCAGGTGGCTTTCAGTCAGCTGGAAAACTGGAAATTTTCACCACTCCTCACCACCCTTCACCACACCTTACCACACCTTACTCCTCACCACCCCCTCTCCACTCCCCACCACAGTCCACTCGTCACTCACCACATTGGCCGCCCCCACAATCTGCAGCAGATGCATCAACCTGCCGCCTGCTGCTGCCTCCCCGTCGTCGTCATTGTCTTGAACGACCTGCTGAGAGGGGTCAGAGGGAGTAAGGAGGAGTAAGAGGGGGTAAGGGAAGGTAACAAGGAGCACCCAGGTTTGCCCCACACCACTGTCTACCTACCCCCTGCTGCTGCCTCCCCATCATCATCATTGTCTTGAACGACCTGCAAAGAGGGGTCAGAGGGAGTAAGGAGGAGTACGAAGGATTAAGGAGTAAGAGGGAGTAAGAGGGAGTAAGTAGGAGTAAGCAGCCCCATTCGCCCCACCCACTAGCAGCCTGCCCCCTGCTGCTGCCTCCCCATCATCATCGTTGTCCTGATGACCTGCTGGGAGGGAGGCACGGAGGGAGTACGGAGTAAGAATGAGTAAGGAGGAGTACGAAGGAGTGAGAAGGCCATTCGCCCCACCTACTAGCAACCTGCCCCCTGCTGCTGCCTCGCCATCATCATCGTTGTCCTCAATGACCTGCTGGGAGGGGTCAGAGGGAGTAAGAGGGAGTAAGAGGGAGTAAGTAGGAATAAGCAGCCCCATTCGCCCCACCCACTAGCAACCTGTCCCCTGCTGCTGAAGCCCCATCATCGCCATTGTCCCGAATGACCTGCTGGGAGGGGGAAAGGGTGAGCAAGAGGGGTACGAAGGAGTAAAGAGGAGTTAGCAGCCCCATACAGCCCACCCACTCTCTGCCTGCCCCATACTGCTGCTTCCCCATCGTCGTCGTTCTCTTGAATGACCTGCTGAGAGGGGATAAGAGGGAGTAAGAGTGAGCAAGGGGGGGTGAAATGGAGTACGCTTGTTTGCCCCACACCACTAGCGACCTGCCCCATACTGCTGCTGCCTCCCCATCGTCGTCGTTCTCATGAATAACCTGCTGGGAGCAACAAGGAGACGACTTTTGAGACGTCTAAAACATGACCTGCTGGGAGCAACAAGGAGGGACAAACAGAGTCAAATCAAACAGAGGCTAGTGACTCTCCTGCAGGATTTCCCCTTCGCCTCACTCCCTATCACCCTGCTCCCTGCTGCTGCCTCCCCATCGTCGTCATTGCCCTGAATGACCTGCTGGGGGGGATAAGAGGGAGTAAGAGGGAGGAAGAGGGCGTGAGAGGGAGTGAGAGGGCGTGAGAGGGAGTGAGAGGGAGTGAGGGAGTGAGAGGGAGTGAGAGGGAGTGAGAGGGAGTGAGAGGGAGTGAGAGGGCCATTATGTAAATGACCCGATAGGCCATGCTGCTGTGATGGTGGCTCTTGAGAATCCTAAAGATCCCTCCCCCTCCCCCTCCCCCTCCCCCTCCCCCTCCCCCTCCCCCTCCCCCTCCCCCTCCCTCCTCCCCTTCCCCCTCCCTTCCCCCAGCCCTCTCTTCCCCCCTTCCCCCCACCCCCTCCCCTCCCAAACGCACGGCACTCACAGTGCTGCCATTTGAGCCAGCTGTCACAATCCTATAGGAGGCCATGATGCCATGCGCGGCTCTTGAGAATACTCCCTCCCCCTCAGAAGTAACACCCCCCTCTCCCTTTCCCCCCCTACCCTCCCCTCTCCCCCCATCCCCCACCCCCCTTTTCCCCAATGTCCCGCACTCACAGTGCTTCCATTTGCACCGGCTGTCACGATCCGATAGGCCATGATGTTGTGCGTGGCGCCTGCTATCTTGCGATTGGCCAAGAGGACGTCCATCACCGCTGCCACGTCAGCAGGCGAGCCCACAGGTGCCAGGTGGGCCTGGAAAGTACCTGGAAGGTGCGGTCATGGGGAAAGGAGGGCATGTGAGGCAGTGAACTTGATGTCCCACACTCCCACTCAATCACTAATACTCTCGCTCACTCACTCAATCACTCATACTCTTACTCACTCACTCACTCACTCTCATTCACTCACTCACTCACACTCTCACTCACTCTCTCACTCCACTCACTCACACATTCTCACTCACTCACTTCTCTTCTGAACGAGTGGAACCGCATGCACAATGCCCAGCGCCCTCCTTACATCCCCCTCTCAACGGAGGTGAGATGATGTCAACAGCGCTCCTCCATGCACAATGCCCAGCACCCTCCGTACATCCCCCGCCTGTTGAGCTGAGGTGCTTCAAATGACACTATGCATGCACGATACCCAGCACCCTCTACCAGACGACTTGTGAAGGGAATCAACTCTAATGGTGCCACTCACTCACACTCACACTCACTCACTTACTCACTTCTCTTCTCAGTGAAAGGAACGCCATGCACAATGCCAACAGCCCTCTCTATCTCCCCTGCCTCCTCCTCCCCACTCTCCCCCACCTTCCCCTCCTCCCCTCTTCTGCCTCCTCCTCTCCTTGCTGTTGCCTCTGCCGCCGCAGCTGCTTCCACTGCTGCACCTCTTTCTGTCTCCCCTGTTGCCTCCCTGCCCTCCCCTCTACCGTTCTCCTCTCTCTCCGTCTCCTGCTGCTCTGCCAACACAGGAGCGTGCTGCCACACCCACTGCTGCTCCTGCACGCATGAGACGGATGGTAAGGAGTGGTTGGGAGTGGTTGGGAGAGATTGGGAGTGTTTGTGGGTGATTGGGCAGGTTCTCTCTCCTGTCTCTCCGTCTGCTGCTGCTCTGCCAACACCGGAGCGTGCTGCCACACCCACTGCTGCTCCTGCACACACGAGAGGGAGTGGGGAGGCATGGGGAGGCATGGGGGCTGGGAGGCATGGGGACTGGGAGGGATGGGGAGAGGGAAGGGAGAAGGCAGGCAGGCGTGAGTGATGCCACACACACATGGGGACGTCTGCCTACAGGCAGGCAGGCAGGGACTGTGATGCATGGGATGCGGGGCGGAGCTGTGATGCATGGGATGCGGGGCTGAGCTGTGATGCATGGGATGCGGGGCGGAGCTGTGATGCATGGGATGCGGGGTTGAGCTGTGACTACTATATTGTTGAAAGGGCGTGTTGTGAATACTCCAAAAACGCGTCTGAGGCGCCTCCAAAGCATGGGATGGTGAGCTGAGCTGTGACTGTAATGCAGCCTACCTATTGTGACTGTAATGCGGTTTGGGAGGGTAATCGCGTACATTACCCACCTTAATCCATTCCACCCATTGGAAAATCACCACCTCTCCACTTGCTTCCCCCTCATGTGCCCCTTCCCCTTCCCCTCCCCCTCCTCCTCCCCCTCCGCCTCCCCCTCCCCCCATCCTGTCCAGCTGGCAGCACAGCCTGCTTCTCTCTTCGTCCGGGAGCCAATCGCAGCGCGCCAGCTCAGCAACGGGGGCGGCGTGGGAGGGGTAGGCGGCCGGGAGGTGGACGAGGAGAGTGAAAGAGGGGGGTTGGTGGTGGGTGTGACTGTCCAGAGATGTGACTGAATCGGGGTGTTGGATGGTTATCTGTTTTGGGGAGGAAGGATGGAATGGGGGGAGACGGAATGGACAAGGCATGGAGGTGCAGGAGGAGGGTGAGGGAGGGGGAGGGGTAGTGGTGGGTGTGACTGCCCAAGGATGTGACTGAATCGGGGTGTTGAATGGTTATTTAATTGGGGGAAGGAGAGAAGGCAAGGGGGAAGAGAGAAGGGGACGGAGAAGAGAGAAGGGAAGGGGGAAGAGAGAAGGGAAGGGGGAAGAGAGAAGGGAAGGGGGAAGGGGAAGGGGGAAGAGACAAGGTGGGGTGATTCACGAGGAGAGTGCGGGAGAATCACTAGGAGAGTGAGGAAGGTGAGGGGAAGGGGTGGGTGTGAGTGCCTAAGAATGTGACTGAATCAAGTGTTGGATGGCTATCGATTGGTTAAGGGGATGAAACGGAGACAGGAGAGGAGAGTGAGTGAGAGGAGGGATGGAGAATTGTCAGGAGGAGGGGGGCGGGGTTTAGGGGAGAAAAAGGGGAACGCGCAAGCAGGCAGCTGGCGACGAGTCGGGGACGGGTCGGGGACGGGTCGGGGCGAGTCGCAACGAATCAGGGCGAGTCGCGACCGGCGACGAATGCCGAATGTGTTTTTGTTGTTTCCTTTTCTTTTTTTTTTTTTGAATTTTAGAAAAAACGCGATGAGCCGGACCTGCGCGCGGCATTTAAGACTTTTGAGGCGCCTAAACAATCATGAGACGCCTAACAAAGATTTTCGAGGCGCCTAAAAATTACTCAAAAGACGTCTCAAAACGCGACGAGCCAGACCTCTCAGAACGAATGAGAATGCGGCATTCTCAGGGCATTAGCGGACGTTAGATCCGCGCGGATTCGATTTTTGAGAAATTTTACGCCGCTGAGCCACTCCAGTTCGTCAAGCGCGGCTCGGCTCGGCTCGGCTTGGCTTGGGTCGGCTCGGGTCGGTCGGCTCGGCTCGGCTCGGCTTGGCTCGGCTCGGTTCGGCTCGGCTCGGCTAGGCTTGGCTCGGATCGGCATAGGACCGAGCTCACAGCGCTCGGCGACGGGCTCGGCTCTGCAGATGGCGCGCGAGCCGACGAGTCGAGCCGATAAGTTCGGAAATTTGAGATGCAGACGGTGATCCGCTAAGATTCGTCTCTGACGGCGTGCTCGCGACGCGTTATATTAGCGACGCGATCTGTTAGCGACGCGATCTGCTCACTCTGCAGCAGTGCTCGGCACTCGAGTACGAGAAGCAATCTGAACCGTAGATGGCCTCCAGTGCCTCCATTTCCTCCGCCTGCGCTTGCCGGTTCGCCTCCTCGTCCGCCATGGCTTTAAACCCGTGATCTACAGCCCGTGATCTACGGCCCGTGATCTAAGACCCGTGATCTACGACTGAGACTCCCGTGACGGATGACTAAAGACGTCTCCGACCTACTATGACTACTATGGTTACGGGTGTGCGTCGAGGAGTCTACAGGTGAATAGGCGATTCTGAGCAGCACCAATTAGGCGGCTCGAGAAATGGCTGCTAGAAGCATGTATCGAGGAAAATGGATGTGCCCCGCGCGCAGAAGAGCATACGGGCCATGAGACTCATCGCCGAGTCGCAAATTTTACGTTGTAGCGTAGCGTTTCTTTTGTAACACAACATCAAGAAGCATAAAAAGCGAACGATCATATTACAACTTGATAAGAAGATACATTTATTTAGAGAATGTTTAATTTTGAAACCTACATATATTTAAGGTGTTTTATGTTTTTAATCTTATTATAATATATTATTACACATCTATGTATCAATAAGGTGTTCCCTAAATCTGAATGACGATATATTAAGATTGGTGTTCCCTTAAATGATTCAGTTCACTCACAACAAAAGTGTCCTACCACTCCCTGTGTTATGAATGAACTTGCAGAGTGCGCAGAATATCGAATATCGAGAATGAGAATTACAGAATGACGATACAATGAGAAAGGCACGACTAAATAGGGGAAGTCCTAGCTAGGCGGAGAGGTTGGGCGAGGATGGCTCGGTGATGGATGCGATTGGTGCGGAGGCGACTCGGGGGTGGTTCGGTGCGACGAAATAAGAAGGACAGGTTCGTCGCGTGACCCTCGGGATGGCCTCGCTAACGAGTGCCTCGGTAAGGATTCTGTAAATCCTTACACTCTCCCACCTTCTAAATAAGGCAGTCCTGTACTGAAAACAGACCCCACACTAGCAAGGATGCGGTAGATCTCCCCTTCAGCTAATCCGACAGCCGAAATGTCTTCGATAATATTTTTGAAAAGGTTGGAATGTAGGCCGTTGATGAGTTCCAATTTCGATCTGATGGTCGACGATGAACTAGCCCAAAATGAAGTTGAAGTTGGAATGTGGGTCGTTGATGAAGCAGATGTGGATCTGACGGTCGAGGACTGACGCGAGATTGGAGGGAACCTGCTGACGCGAAATTCAATCGCAATGTTGCAGAAACCGTCGATCGTGAAGCAGCGATCGCAGTCGTCCGTCGTGCTGCTGCATTCCGACAAAGTCAGAAATTGTGCCGAGAAAACGCCGAGGAAAGAAACAGTGCCGAACACTTTCTCCCCCCCCTCCAAGAAAACACACCAGAAAATGTTTCACTGCTGCGCCGAGAAGAAAACCACCAAAACCAGGTGTTAAGTCCCAATGAAACGAGCATTAAACCAGATGAGATTGCGTCGGTGTCGAAACTCGATGACGAAACCAGGTGCAAAGTGCCTAAGGCGAACCAGCATATGTAGCCCGGAAACCGCGTCGGAAAATCCATGTTACTCGAACTGAACAATTTTACCTTCACATCTCCAGAATCTAGCGAAATCTTCAGCAGTTGCAGCTGGCAGCAGTTGAAATCGAATCGTTTTCCGTGGGCGGGTCGAGTTGAGCGGGTTGTCGTTAGTACACCTGTTCCGCGTTATTTTCACACTCTGAAAATCGCGCACGCGGCTTTGTCTGTTCTGGGGGGTGTGAAGTTAGGGGTAAGAAAACTGTTCCGACTAATTTCACGCGCGCTGAGTCAGCGCGCGTGGAAAGTGAAATCCGAAAGTTGACTCAGCAGCTTTGACTTTGTTGAACATTCCTTGTGTGTAGGAGACACCTCCGAAAATGCAAAACTCAAGAGAAACAAATTCTGTAACTGGAAAAATGCAAGTACACCTGAATGTAAATGAAGGCCTACAAACAAAAACAGAAATTCGGAACATGATACAATGCTCCTTCCTTGCACACGTTAAAAGGCAATGGTACAAGGAGCACTATGTGTTCAGCCCAGCATACGCGAACGCCATGTTGTCTTCTGAAAGCATGTCCCTAAAACTGTAGGTACCTGCGGCGCGATCAACCGCGGGACGAACATACCTCGCCATAGAGGAATCCGATGCGAACTCATGCAAGGCCGTCGTTGCCGCTGCTGCATCTGCAGCATCCATGCCTGCCTCAGAGGGGGGCGCGTCATTCATATTGAATGGGACGCCGCGGTTTCCGGGTTGGGCAGTCCACCAACTCCTACCAACCCACTCCGTGTCGTTTGCAACGCGTGTAGAAGTGGCGACGTGGTCGTCACAACCAACGAACGCCCGAGCGGTCATTAAAGGATCGTCAATCTTCAGTTTTTTCATTAACACACCTAGAGTTGTGATGTCAGCCGTCTCAGGATCCTTAGAAGGTCCTTGAAATAACCGTTCCAACCCCCACTCCTCCAACCAAGTGTACGGCACCACACCGGACCGACGCCAACACCTCCTTATGATCTCTCGACCCATAGTACTCCATACACCACATATCCATGTAATGGCAGTCCGCAAGTCGGGCCGGACAGTTTTCCGTGCCTCTTGATCACGCATGCGCTGAAATTGATCAAGCAACCACGTGACCAAAATTTTCCGGTACCGCAACTTCAATGTTGCGATGACACCTTGATCCAAGGGTTGTACGTGGGAAGTGCAGTTTGGGGGTAGATAAATTACCCTCACGTTCGGAACCACAACCTTGATCCCGTCCCTCCAAAACTCGCGCTTTCCCTCGATGTTATTGATGTTGTGTGCGCTTGCATTGTCCACCAATATTGCGATTTTCCGGTCCTTGAATCCCATGTCGCCGTCCACCGCGTCCACCCATTGGGTGAAGATCTATGCGCAACACAAGAAAGCCAAAGAGAGTTATGAGTAAGCTGGAAATAATGTTTGCATACACGACAAGTGGGAAGTGGCGGGGGTATTCATTGCTTACCTCTGAGGTCATCCATGCACGCCTATTTGCACGGTACCAAGTGTAGTCGTCCACGTGGAAATCGTTCCGGAATGAAGTCGGCCGCAATGCCTTTCCAATGACGATTGGTTTCATCAAATCGGTGCCATCGGCGTTGCAACACAATGCAAGGGTAAACCGTTCTTTGTCTAACTTCCCTCCCGCCACGGATTCGTTCGCGTACGTGCGACGCGGTTGTTGACCGGAGATAAATCCGGTCTCATCCATGTTGTACACATCCGCGGCCTCGTACCCAAAATCTTTGAGGATTTTCGGTATGGTCTCCCTAGCGAGGGCAATGGATTCAGCATTAGCATCCTTCGCCTCGCCCTTCCTCTGATACGACGACATCCCCATTCGTGCAAGCGCGCGGCATAACCACCCGGGAGAGACTGTGAAATCGCTAGGAAGACGTATAGCTTTGGCAAATGCCTCCGACTTTTGAAGAAGAACATGGAAGGTGATCGGTAAATTCGCTGCAGTGTGCCTAACAGCCCACGCATGCAACCTGGCCTCAAGGGCGGGAAACTTTCCCTCACGGAGGCGTTTACGGTCTGTGGGGAGTAAAGAGGGGCTGTCCATTTGGTTGAGGCTTTTAGTATCTTACATACAGTGGTACGACACGGGTGTTTTTTGAAGTTCGTGAAGCACCATAACGCAAGCTCTTTCTGCGACAAGTTCGGGTTCCTAACACGATACTCGCATAATGCAGCCTTCTCGACACGAGTTAGAGCTGCATTTTTTTTAGGCTTAGGCATTCTGTTATGCTGGGAAGGCTGTTAGGAGGTGGAAAAAACGCTGGCGAGAAATGTGGCAGTCTCTGGTGTCGAATGAGTTTGTTCTGAATTTTGAGTCTGCAAGCGATTCGATTTCGAGAGATGGTGAAGCTGGGTTGGACATTCTAATTTGTACACGTCAGGTTCATGTGTACTTGATTCAAGGAAGAATGCGTGCATTTTTTTGTGTGGTCGCGTTTTTGGCGCTGTGATTTTCGCCAATGCGAATTGAACACGTGAGAAATTTGAAACATCCGCAATCGGAGGATTGCGGATGCGAATTTCTGGATTGTGCCTGGAAAAGCGATTTCGCGCCTAGGTCAAACATGAAATGACCCCTTGCTGACTCAGCCGCGCGTGCACCCCCTTGGTCATTTTTCTGCCGCCCCTGGTCAGATTGCCCCAGAAAAGGACAAAGGGGGTGAAGATAGGGGGTGTGAAATTATCGCGGAACAGGTGTAGAGTTGGAATGGAGCTGTCCTGAAATCCTCTGGCCGTGAAATCAGGGGTGGTTCGAAATTGTCGTCGGTGAAGGCGATTCGTCGTAAAGTCAAATACGAGCGTCGGCGAAATTCGTTGAAGCAGTAACCGAAATCGAATGTCACTCCGAAATTGATGTCGAACGCCAGTCCAGTGTCAGATGATGTCAGCACCTCCA